AATAAAAGCTTTATCCAAAAACTCCAAAATCAAAAAAAAAAAAAAAAAAAAAAAAAAAACTGAACCACAATAATTACTGCACAGTAACATCTCTCTAAATTCCAGCATTTGGTTAAACTGAAATCTCTAGAGAAGGACAATGGACTAATCTAAATTTCTAGATATCAATTAAAAGTCAGAACCATGTCAAAATTTTCAAGTTTGTTGCCTGTGAGGTGTTTACATTTGTACTCTAAATTTTAAGTATATTTTACTTATAAATAGCTATATTACATTGATTTTTTTCACACTTCAGCTCTGAAGCAATGAATTTTAAATGGCTAATTTATGTTTGCAAAAATATTTGTAGCACTAGAAACCACTTCGAAAAATATATTGTAAGTTAAATTAGAATTGAAGTAAAGACGCCAAAATTATAGTCAAACCTTTAGAGTACACCGAAAATGACCAAAGTTCAGGTCAGTCAGGCCCATATATAAATGTTTAAATAGTCCAACCACTCTGGGTTGTTGTTGATGATAAAAAGTATTCTAAGCAAGTCAAGTGTTACCAAAAATGAGGACAGGCTTGGGGTAAGCAAACTAGGCTGAGGACAATCTGCAGTATCAATAAATGTTACATTAAGTTACGGGTTGATTCCATATATGCATTTTGCAATTGAAAGGATACCCATTTGTTCACCCAGTCCGACTCTCAGTTGAAGTATTTTTTCAATAAAGCGACAACTGTGACTATTTATCAACCACATCGTGTCAAAACAAAACAAACCCGACGTTTTGAATCGACGATTGACACAGCAATCACCGCTAGTCCCGCCCTTTTTATCAATACCAGCCAATCGTTACATCACTGAAACACTCCCTCCAAGGGTTACATAAACACAGCGATGGGCCTTAACGTTAATAGCCGCACTGTCAGAGCTCCAGATCTCCGCTGGCAAGCTTGAACGTTACTTGACAACTAGGCGAATGCAGTTGTACGTCGATCTTTCGTCACGTCACCTCCACTGTAAAGCAAGGCTTAAAATTACTGCAAAATGGAGTCTTGGCACGCAGCGCAGCTTATATTATTAAAGTAACAGAAATAAACGAGTGAAAGATTCAGTGATCGGTGACATTTACCTGCTCAAATATAAAAGCGTTAGCCGTTTTGCAAAGGTAAATTCAGCTCGGCACTGTTTTCGGAGTCACAGCGAGCTAACGCACACAAAACAAGTATATTGACAATGGCGCACATAACCTTGCAAAAAGACGACTGAAGCCACTGCAAATATTTTCGAGCTAACACCTTAAGACTGTCGTCAGAGTAAAAATACGCAATTGTATACATAATGGCAAGATCTGTAACAAAGCCTACCTTCGCGGACTGAACAAGTCGTCCATTTCAGACACCCGGGTGTATCTTTTTAATGTTGACAGATTTCCTGGTATGGCTGAAATAAATTACCAGTTTCCCCTATTAGTACTCAAAATGGAGGAGCGCGCAGCCTTTCAGGGATTTTTTACTGAGCTTGTGCTATGACCTCAGCCTTAACTTCCCCTTCCAGCAGAGCCGACTGAGCATGTGCCGCGACCTTACATACAGACATGCTGGAAACGCGATCCATTTCTGTCGCTCTCCCACACAAACAAGCCCGGCTCACAGAGCTGCTGGCGCTCCGGCCAGCATACCAAACAAGCAGAAACTGGAAAAGGAGGAAGGAGGGGAGTAGGCGGTACCAGCGGCACTGGAGATGGAGAGAACGCGTGGGGCCCCGATCCAGGGGGCTCCTGACATACAACGGTCATTCGCACGCCGAGGAGGTATACATTACTCATAGTCGGGTCGCCGCCACTGTAGTAAATAAAGTAGTAATGATTTGATTTGTGCATTTTAACTCGCAACAAAAATGTTTATTTCTCTGCATATGTATTAATACAAGCTGTGACTTGTTTGCCTATCTAACAATTATGTAAGCGTTAAAAAACATGTCTGGACCTTTCATACATTTCATACACAACATCTAATATCAATTGCATGACTTAATAATTCATAGTTCATACTATTACATTTGGCCTTTCTGTATGGTATAGCATGCGTTTTTCCCCCACACAAAATTGCAAAACCTTATTTTGGTTCCATTGTCCTTTTTGTGGTATTTAACCTGAAATAAGGAAAATATTACATGATGGTGGCTAGCAATCTGATGTTATCTGTGAGGTACTATATAGAAGGTAAAACCAATGCACTGATAGTATGCTACCCTGAAGTATCTCATATTATATATACATATAGACACACACACACAAACCTTGAAATATTTAAATGTGATTTTGATGGTCAGTAACTTCCCCCCTCTCACACGCACACACACATGATGTAACTGCACATTTTAGTTTGTACTTTATGAATTTAAAGTGAAATTAGCTGGACAGAAAATATCATGTTGGTGATTTTCTGATATGATAATCTCCATATTCATTTCCCAGAGTGCAAACCATCTGAAAAATAATTATGACCAATTACAATTACTAAAATATATACTAGTCATAATCTGTTTGGCTAATCACTAACAATTATTACAAAATAGCAATTAATTACAGTTGTCAATTTCTCTGTTTGGAGACACTTTACTAAATCTACATGGTTGTCACAGTGCATTCACATTCTACCATAATGATAAATGTTTCCCATATCATATCTAAATTATACACTGTTTAATAGATAAGTTTATGGATACAACAGAACTGCTACAATTGTTGGAAATTTTTCTCTTACCCCATTTTTATGAATATGCAGTCTAGATCCTACAACTAAGACTGTGCCACTGTTTGATGTATTATAAGACAAACACATAAATGTGTTCTACCTGTAAAGAGCATTACATAGCACTCACCTGAGCCCAAGAGATTTGGCAGCCATTTAATTTTATTCTGTGATGGATACAGCCGAATAACTATGAATATTTGACATATAAAAATGGAGATACGTCAGGTTGATGTATTTATTTATATTTTAATGTTCTTCATATAGAGATGTTTGTAAACCACTCCCAGAGGTTGCTATATATAGTCCTAGTAAAACATCAGGCTTAATGAACAAAGATTATTAGTATTGTATAAGTTCTGGGGGTGCAACTTTAAAAATATAAATTTTCTGGACAGGTATACGAGTGTTCACATTCTACAGAATCTGCTCCATTTATTGCTTTAATGCTTTTGTTAAAAAGTATAAAACATGGCAGCATGACATTCCTATGCAGTCTATAACCAGTACTAACAAGTATAAAATATGATCTGCCCAGAGAATGCAATCAGTTTTGTCTCCAATCAGGCTGAACGCTGATGGAGCACAGAATGCACTTTCCTCTTGAGCAAATTTATATTGGTAGGTCAAGGCCCACCAGGCAAGAGTCTGTACTGTCATTAGCACAATCTGGGAAATACATTACAAAATGAGAATTGTGGTAGAGGGATGTCTACTGAGAACTCTGCAGCCTATCAAGTTCAAACTAAAAGAAAAGTGTTTCATTGGAATGATAAACCAGACAAAGGCTAAATCATTAAAAGCGATGATACCCAAGTAATCTTCACATACAGTGATGTCAAAGTATACCTTCCAATTCCACATCCAAAAATTAAGTATATTTAAGTGACAATACATAAGACTCTAATAGGTCAATAACAAATAACAAGCCAGGCTGCAAAAGCTGTATGCAGAAAAGAATGACTTATCTGTAGAACCAATTTTAGCAGCAATAACTTGATGAACTCATTCAGAAAAAAATAATACATCAGTCCAAGTTATTTTGGGCAATTCTTTCTTACAGCATTGCTTCAGTTCAGTGATGTTTTGATGCTTCAGGTAGGCCGAATTCATGTATTCTCAAAGTGATGGCTGGTATGAGATATTTGTGGTGACAATATTTGTTGGGTTCTCTCTAAACATGGCATGGTGCATTATGACCAAACCTCCACTTTTGTCTCATTTGTCCAAAGGACATCGTTGCAGAAAACTTGTGAACTTTGGAAACCTAACCTGCACTCCCATATTCTTTATGGAGAGAAGGGCTTCCAGCTAATCTTCTTCGAAAATCACACATGTTCAGACTATTTCTGATCAAAGAGTCTTGAACTTTAACATTTAACATGTTAACCAAGGCCTATGAATATGGAGCCCTATGTGTGCTTGGGTTCTTTGCGATTTCTTGGGCTCAGTCTGACCTTCAGGTGAATCTGTTGGCACATACACTCCTGAGAAGACTGACAACTGTCATCAATGCTCTGTATTTGTAAACAATGGACAGTGTAAAATGATGGATTTCATTTTAATGGCCTTATAACCCTTTCCAGAGTGAAAAGCAGCAACAATTGCTTCCCTGAGATCATTGCTGGTGTCTTTTCTCCTTGAAACAGTGTTAATACAAACTTGAAGGATCCAGATTATCAAAATGCCAAAAGTTCTGCATTTACAGATGTAGCCATACTCCCATTGCTGAAATGCATTTGATTAAAAGAACCTAAATGCTATTCAAATTCTTAATTCCTATGTAGGCTGTAAGCTTCTGCATTTTAGTCTACTTTGTGTTAAGTCTGTAATGCCACGGTGAAATCTGTTGTGTGTTGTCTTATCCAAGGCTAGATTTGTTTAATTTTAGAAGACAACTGATATTTATAGCTCCACATATAAAGCCTATGAAAGAGGCTAGACTTTTTAAATACTGTTTTGCATAGACAAAAACATGTATTGTTTTCTCGTCTCCTATAACAACTGAACAGTCTCTTTCAGCAATTCCATAAAATTAAGTGCAAAATCTGCCATTATGCATGGAAAAGCAGAAAGGTGCTTGTCAATAGCTTAAACCTTGAATGGCAACAGAAACTAATTAAAATGTAAATGTTTTTGAAAGCGGAATGTGTGAATCGTTTTAAAGACAGCAGTGAGATGGCTTGAAGGCTGAAAGTCAATTAGCTCACGCTAACATTATGACGCGTAACAAGGTGAATGAAAAGCACGCTTACCTGGTCTCTGGGTTATATCCTAAGATATAAAAGAAGGAGTCAATGCAGGCTTTGAACTCCCTAGCAGCAAAAATATCAGAAAAATGGGCAATGGTACATTTGCCTCTGAAACAAAGGAGGAAAAAGAAATATTTAATGTAATGGAAAAACATAAACATTTGGTGCATTTTCAATGTATATACTGTAACACACATAATTAGGGGTACGCAATTCACAAATGCATCAATAAAATCCCCATCCAATCAGTAATGTCATATGTACTGACAGATGTGAAAGAATCCGCTCCTCCATTAGCTTCTGAAGATCATCCTTCAAATCACTTGAATGAGGCCCATTCACTCCAGTCTGAGAGAATATCTCATGGAACATATATAAACACTCTTCTGAACATTACACAGAACAGTGTGGAATTAAGCAATGACTACCCACCGTATTTTCAATGATTTAATTTCTTTGATGTCTCGTTTCATCTCAATAATAAGCATCCTTGTGGCAAGCCACTCTGCTGGAGCCTGTCGGCTTCCCGGAGAAACACTACATTCTATCAGGATGGATGTAATGAGTGCTGTGAACCATGGATAACAAAACTTGGCTGGTATTTTACAGGTTTATCTAAAACCTTTTAATGAGTAAAAATGGGCTCTGCATGGAAGTTTCTGACTTCACTGACAAGACCATTTTGTTTCCATGTGTTTTTAGGAGAAATATGACAAATTCAGCCAAAAACCATGTGGCTGTATTCCCCCAGAAATGTGGCTAAGAAACATAATGTGTCGCTGTTTTTGGAAGCTCAGCCTAGCTGCACTTGTGCCTAGTTGACATCATGCATGTTTGCAACGTGCTACTGCTTTGCCTGGATGTTTCTTTGGATGAAGGTGTCTGTTAAATAGGGTTAGTATACATTTTTATACAATACTTAATAAATTAAGCTTATAATAATGATGGTATGAAAGCATTTTGCACAAACATTAAAATTTATACATAAAAAAAAACCCCACTGCCACTTTATCGACTCCATGTCAATTATGCACTTCATATTGCACATAACTGCTCTTTGCACAACGTTCATGCGTCTAATATTATATATGTATATATATATTTTTTTTATATAGATTTTGCACACCACTACTGCTTGTGAAGCTAGCACACAAGAATTTCACTCATATGTACTGTACCAGTAACATGATGTGACAATAAAGATTTGAAAACTTTGAAAACTTTAATGAAAATACAAAATTGATTAAAATCTTCAGGAATTCTTTATCTGTTTTCTGCCATCCGCCTTATACATCCTCGAAGTGTTTATCCAGTACATGGATAGGAACCAGTCCCAGGACAGGTACAAGGTAGGAAAACAGATGGGAGGCAGCTTCATTACAGGGCAAGCAAACTTACACACATTATTACTAGTGACTTAAAGATGCCAATTCACCTAACTGCATGCCTTTAAACTGTAGGAGGAAACCAGAGCAACAGAGCGAGAAACACAGAAACTCGCACACAGAAGAGAGGCAGGATTGCAGGCTCTGGGGCCTGTAGAGAAGCTGTGCACTGCACTGCACTGCACTGCCAAGCTGCCCAAAATCGTCGTCTATCATAACATTTCTCAATACCACCTTCAACTCTCTGCCATTTTTTGCATGCTGTATAAAGAGAGGTAATAAGGGGGGTTACCTAAGAGCAGCAGCGTGATATGTGTCCACGTAGTCGGAGATGAAGAGCTCCCGACTCTTCACCACTGGATCAGTAATGACCAGCTCACGGCCAGAAACTGGAAGAAAATGTCTCGTCAGTAATAACACATCACCTGCCATTCACAGACACCAGTAAACTGACAGAGCTCACAAATACGTCTAGGAAAAGAAGCGGGCTGTCGATACATGTACAGCAAATACAGTTTCAATGCTGTACAGTATTGTGAAAAGGGATTCAGCTGGACATAGCTCAAAGAAACAACTGGAAAATTTGAATTTCACCGAATCACCTTTCTCACACACTGAATTCTTAGTTAAATCACTGCTATCTGGGAATACGTGGAAGACATTAACCTTTTGGTCTCAAACTGCAATAGAGGGGCACTTCTCACCATTCTCATTGTTGCGGTCCTGCACCAGATGCTGGTACACGGAGTCTGGGACCTCAGACTGGCGGTAATACCATTTCACATTCATGAGAAGGTGGTCCCGTTTACTCTGAAAGTAACATAGGGGAAAAGGCATCCAATAAAATAAGAACTTATTTAACATCACTGCAAAAAGCTAGTTTTATTTTTAGCTTGCTCTTCTATGTACAAAAATAAAAATTACCATGCAGTATTTTTTTCCATCCAATGAAATATCTGAACGATAAACCTGGATGCATGTGGAATTTAAATGAAACATGATGGAACATCAGAAACCCATTTCAGCCAAGATATACAGATAAAGATATATCAGACTCCAATACATCCAGAACAAATACACGCAGGACTGAAATTGTTTTTACATCACTGAGTTTCATCCGGTGGACTTTTATTTGATATGATATGGGCAAAGCACTGCCCCTGCTGTGACTCTAGGGAAATCTCGGAGGTTGCTTGAGATTTATGGAAAGGAACAGCAAGTGGCAGCACTGAGTCAGAGATCAGTGTCCTGTTTCAGGAACAGAGAGAACGTGGAGCAGGACGCTTTAAGTGACCTGAAACAAACCCACTCGATGTTTACCACGTTTAAGTGAGCGTTAAACCATCACTCGGAAGAGCAGGGCAGGGCAGTGAAAAATAACTGCAGATTCCAATCCTCTGCACACCTGCTTGTCACTGCATCCGAAAGCGCTTCAAAAATGATTATATTAGAGAAGGGTTTCATAACCGAAGCTCACCCCCCCCCCTCTGACTACTGTGCTTTACAGATAAGAAGCAGAAAGGAATTGTTAAAAGATTCAACATCTTCTCCTTTTAAGGTACCAGGTATCACATCAGCCCCACAGCTCAGTGGAAGCTTAGTTCTCTGTTAACCAACTGAGAATAATGATCCTTGAATAGTCTGTTCATTTACATACAAAAAAACACACACAGAAAACATAACATCTGGAAGGAGGCAGAGCCTAATCAACTACAATAAATGTATTCAAGATAAAGTCTGTGTTTCCAGAAGCTTCTAAGCAACAACATACTAACCGGCACATGCACACACCATAAAACATGGTGACAAAACAGTGCAGCTGCAACTCAGTATTATAGCTCACAGGTAACAGTTCTGAAATATTACACATTCATAGAGGCTATATTTAAAGTGGGTTATGCATCCTCTGATGGCAAATTGAATTCTTTCCCCACCTAGAACTTCTATAAAAAAAGATCTAATTCTTTAAAATCAAACAATGCATGAAAAATGGTAATATAGGACACACGTACAAATTAATGCACTGACAGAGTATTCCCCTTTATGACACTGAGAAATATTCCCTGGAGGTGTAAGAAATGGAAGTATCACTGAAGTACCATATGCAGTCACATGCCAAAAAAAGAACAAGTTACAAAAATTACATCTCTAACATTCCGATTTTATGTATAAATTTGAGGTGGAAACTGTGACCTTTCTTATACCAAATCTGTCAAATGGAAATGACTGTTCCATTATTAAACCCTAATTATGTTTGCATGTTGCACAGACTAGATCATTGCCCAGAATCAAATTATGGAGATAAGTCCTCTTAAGCAGAAACAAAGCAGCAGCCCTCAGCCATTACAATGACAATGACAAACTGATTAGCACGTCCCCAAATGCATGGAGCAGAAGCCCCCCCCCCCCCATCCTGGGGGCTTCTCATGTGACTCCCCATCCTTCGGCTAGTGCCTATCCCTCCTTTCCTACCACCAGCTGGGGATGTGTGGGCTGGAGTGAGGTCTTAATCTGGAACCTAATTCACAGGCCCTTCTACCATGAATATCTATGAGTAGGCACATTCATTGGTGGGGAATAACCCCCCATAATGTGCGTTAAAAAGCTTATTTGTGAGCTGGAGGACCAGAGCCAAGCGCACCACAGGCACGTCTCCTATTCGGAGTTTGTCATTGGCTTTTTTATGGCTGGGCTTCTCTGTATTTGCACAGTTACCTTTGCACTTAGCAAAGCTGTTAGCAGTGCTAGGAAAGATTTATCACATGCTGTCACATATAACTACAGGAGGTGAAGGATGTTAAGAAAACATATTCTTGTTAATAATAAGAATAAGGATAATAAGAACAACAACAAAACTACTGCCACAACTACAATAATAATGATAACAATAATAATAATACGCACAAGCAAACATTCTGATGAACTGAAACTGCAGATTTGTAGCATTACAATTAACTTTGCACTCAGTGGAAACTGGGTTAAAATAAGCCAAGCTGTGAATAGTGCTGAACATTAAACACATTACACTGCAAATCCAAGAGATTTTTTAGAGGTCACATCTACACAAGGAAAGCTCACTCTTGATGAGTAGATTGTCATGTTCCTGTGAGGATGAATATAGAGCAGATAGAGCACGGCAGAGCAGATTCACCCACGAGTAAAACAAACATTCCCATGTCACGTTTTACCCTGCAGATTCAACATTAAGAAATTACAGTCAGAGCAGGTATTCAACAAAAGGCCACGGAAGGTAATGTTTCAATCCATCAATGGACAAGCACATCAGTTACTTCTGGGTATTGATTTTTCAATGCTTGAAACATTTTTACTTAAGGCTGTGCCTGCAAGTGGAAAAATGCACAAGTCACTGTTCCTAGTAAAGAAGAATTATTCTGTACCCTGAAGCCATTTTTGTGCAATAAGGACTAGATACGCAATAATACATTTATGCAGTGATACATGGAAATTGGGATAAAAAATTAAACAATTAGTTTTGATGGGTATTTCAGAGTACTCCAGAAGGATTAAAGGTCACTATATTATAATAAATGTGTGGTTTTATGAAGGAGCTTGACAAATAAAGCAAAACATCATAAAATTTGTAGTCAGCCTGCAGAAACAAACACAGCATATATTTTCATTGATCTGCTGCCTCTTTGTCTGGGACAATGTACAATAACAGAGAATTTCAGCAGCTAAGCACTTCAGTATACCTATCTGTTAATGCTCCCTCAGTGGTTCAGCAAACCAAGGCAGCAGTATCTGCTGCTCTCATCCCTCTCAAAATACATAAATCATACTGAAACCTAAAATGCTTAGATAAATTAAGCCAGTCAGGGTGTTTCCATATGTGAGCAAAGGGGAATCGCAATTTGCATACCCCCAATGCGGATAGGGAACGCAAAGGAAAAATTGTGAAGCGAACAGCTCTGGGAATGGGTTAAGTGCATTCCAGGAATGATAGGAAAACAAAAGCGAACAACAAAAGCTTATTAGGCTGTAGCACATCTTACGGGCCCATGACAGGACTGAAATTAATAATGGTACACAAGTGTTAATTACAAGTCATTTCTTTCCCAGCAAAAGCCCCTGCCCCCAACCTGCATGTTATCTCCTCCCATCAGGAAAGAAAAATGGAGAGAGGGGGCAGCTCCAGCTGGGTTGCCAGTGCTGTCAGCACGCTGCAGTTTTCGCACTGTGCCGTTTAGATATTAAATCTCCACTTGCTTTGAAGACAATCAGCCCATCTGTCATCCTGGCGCTGTATTGGATTTGGTGAGCATTAGCTAGTTCAAAGCAGGATATTTCCAATGTAACACCACAGCCAACCCCTCTACCACCCTTGTCTAAACTCCCCGGTTCCCCTCTCACGTTTGATGTGTTTAGTAGCCCTGAAGGAACCTGTGATTAACTGCTATAGGACAGACCTAAAGAGAAGTTCTTTCCCATGCATCACCAGTATGGGCTGTTTGAGGGTGACTCATGTAACTTTCACAACAAAAAGGGCAACTGCGTCAATCTCGGGGCCCATCAGACCAGGTCCTCCATTACCACCGAAAATACGTGTAAATAAGATCATAACTACTCAGCAGATTTTTGCTTGCAAGCATCATACACAGTATGTCTTAAAATGAAACATTTAAACACTGCCAGAAATCAATGTATTAATACGGATTTAATTTAACAGAGACAAAGGCTGCATTTGGCTGCCTGCACCAGCACTAAAATGTTTACAGTGACTCATCTGGCTGTTTCTATACAAAGCTAAATCATTAAAGAAAAACATGATCTGCCAAATAATCTGTACGTTGTCTAAAATAATCATGACCTACTTGGTATCTAACTAAATTTAATTTGTAATTATCCATATAGCCAGAGTAACATAAATGTGCATGAAAGCAACCGGCATAAAGAGAAACATACTATTTCCATTTCAACACAGCGGTTTTCAAAGCAGCTTCTGTTGCACAGTTGAGAGGAACCAAAACAACTCACAATGGCTATCAACAACCTGAAGATCAGAGGCTCTTATTCCTGTACAACAGGAGCCTGACACGAGGCACTTTAAAAGATCAATGCACACAAGCAATAGCTGCAGAAAAAAACACCAGCCCTCAAATTGAGCCAAATGTGCTGAGCAGCAACCATTGGGTGGAGAAGAAGCCCACCTGCAGCCTAGTAGGGTATCAAGAAGACACCATAGACACTAAAAATGGCGATTCGCTCATATACTCTCGTCTGCAAAGGGTGCTACATTTGTAAGCCAATTAACTGCTACTTTGCTAGTGACTGAAGTAGTAAAATGCTCCCCAACACACACAAGCCTAAATACCCCCAACTGAGCAACTCGCTCCCAAGGAAGGGCAACAGCACCATGGAATATATATGTAATATATGGAAGCATTCAAGAAATCTCACATATACATTTTCCCCTTTTAGCTTCCTAAATACCAGCATTAATGACAAAAATCTTGTTGCGTGTTACTTCGGCATGAATGAAATCGCCCTTCCCAGGAACACAGAGCCATACAGCGGGAAGGATGGTGTGGAAAAGGGGAACCATGGGGGACCGAGGAGGACCGTGAGATGGAGAGTCTGCAGCACACCTGGATGGCTTATCGCGACAAAAAGGCTGTGACCGCAGAGCAGCGGCGGCCCTGCCTGAGCGATGTAAGGCAGGAAATGAGAAGCTTTGTTTAAGCCAGAGTAAATCGTTCAGCACATTCAGTGGAGCGTGCTGAGCTGAGAGCAGGACTGCGGACCCCTCTCCCCATTGGTATTCTGCCACATGCCGTCATGTTGATGATGTG